TAAAAAAAACAGAGGGATAATTGGTGATGGAATAATAGATTGGTATTTGTGAGTTATTTTTTTAGACAATTATATTGGTATCAATTCTTGTATATTGATACAAAGTTAAATTATATTGAATATTGTATGTGTGTATGCTTGTACCTCTGTTTGAAACATTTTTTATGTATTGATATATATATATTGTATTGATACATATATTTACTATATTGCATTGTACATTTCTACCCCTGATTAACATACTTATATATTGTTTATGTATTGATACATTTCTACCTCTGATTAAGATAGTTATATATTGTTTATGTAATGATATACATTTTTTACATTTGGAGGTCATTGTTCTCCTTTATTGAATAGTTGTTTATTCTCTTAGTCTTTAAGTTAGATAGGTATTAAAAATTGTAGATCAATAGTCATCTATGTCTGTCATATTTATAGTTAGGCTAACCAGGTTCTTTAGATACATAGAGATTATATTCAGTATAGATAGTATAATCTTCAACCTCTTCAAAGAGCTGTAGAAAATGCCTTTTAAGCTAATTTAGAGTTCTGTGGTAGTGAGACACAATTGCTCCTGGCAACACCGATCTATTTTCAAGAGATTGTTGAGCACCAAAGACACTCCACTTAGAGCTTGTCTTCTTCTTGGCAGAACTGGCCTTTGGGCAAAGAAAAGCCCATATCTTGACCACTGACAGAGATATAAAGTATCCGGAAATGGATTAGCAGAACTGTCAAATCTTGCCAAGATAGGGTAAGACAGTTTTGAAATATTTCTTGCTTTTAAAAATAATCTGTCAGTTACGTTAAGCATTAGCCAAAGTTGGTTGCCTCAGCATTGCAAATGAGACTTTGAGTGATTGCCCAGGTAGTCAGTTGTCTCTGTCATTTGTTGCACATTTTGGAAGTTTCTCGATTGTACTTCCTGCTTACTCAAGTAATATTACTTCCCTTCTCAAATATTTGATGGAGGTGAAGATTAGATAATTGTAGCTACCTTCCTCATGATTTAGCTAAACTTAATTTCAATATATTATTTAGACTCCTTGAAATAGAATGCTTAGTAAAACTTTTGTTATGTGTTGTTTATTGCTTGTAATTTTATATTTGGTATCTGTTCCTATTGTATATAGTTGTATTGGGTTTGGTTCGATCTTGTTTAGACAAAAGGGGGAGATGATGGGGAAGCTCAGACAATCACATCTGGCTAGGGTGTGGCCGCCTGGAGTCCAGGTAGTTAAATGGGGGTAGATAGGTGCTTGCTCTCACTGCGCAGTGCTCACCTGACCAGTTTGGACTTCGGACCTTCTACTACCGTAGCGTGAGTTTCCCCGTTTTTCGATTATTAAATTATATCTGTTGTTTATATCTGTTGCTTTGAGCTGATCTGGTTATTTAACGTACTGATCGAATACGCCAGGCACCTACAGTGGGGAGAGGGACTGCTCTGAGGTCAGGGAGGGTCAGGATGGAGAGGTCAGGTATGGAGGGTAGTGGACACAGTCTTGCACGCTGGCTGCAGTGGGCTCTGTACAACTCCTGGCTGCAGGGGGCTCTGTACAACCTGGTTCTGCTTATGCATTAGGGCCTGGTTACCCCAGGAAGCTGAGCTTCTGCTTGTAGCCCTGCCCAGAATAGCATGGGTGTTTAATAACTGTGGGTGATGGTAGTGCTTCACTCAACTCCTTCCCTCTCTCGCAGAGACTGCAGTCCCGACATCCCACAGGCCCCCGCTCTCATATCTGAAAGGATTTCATGTCATTCTGGCCCTGAACTCCAGTTGTCCTAAAATTTTGTTCCAGGTCCCTAGCCCAGGAGCGTGTTTGTCTTTGTGTAAAAACAATGGCATGCTAACTGTAGGCAGACAAGGTCTTGCATTGTCCGAGACCACCAAGCACAGGATTTTAAGGGAAAAAAAGTGAGACCCACTTGCTAGGGATGGGAGCTGTGCACTGGGCATCTTCAGAGCTTCCCAAAGATTTTCACTGTGTGATTCAGGTTAAGTACTGAGTTATAGCAGTGTTCAATTGACAAAAATGCTGTGCAGTTTTGTACACAAGAGCACATAAATAAATAGACACTTTTCAGTCCAGAGAAGGGTTTGGTGTCTTCTGCCATCCCAGCTAGCCTCTTTCCCTCTGTTCTATCAACACATTTATATTCTGTTTCCACTTGGCCTGTGCAGGGGGCATTACCCAGCACCAGCCTCTTAACTTTTCTGTGCTTCAATTTCTGCATCTGCAAAATGGGAAAAATGAATCGTACCTTCATCATTGTCCCAGGGCTTAGGACACAGGCGCATTTCCCCTTGAGGTTCTTTAACCTTGCAGGAAGGTTTCCTGTGAGAATCATCTCCCTCCCTCCCTCCCTCCCT